AGACCCTAAACCCTAAACCCTTTGAAACGAGGCCATCATGCCCAATTTCTCAGACCGGGACCTGAACGACCTCCTGCGCGTCATCGACACCAATGGCATCTGAGACTGCGTTCATGGTTTAGGGTGTAGGGATCCGGGGGATTAGGGTTGAGGGATTCCGGGGGGGTTTAGGGATTAGGGATCCCGGGGGTTTAGGGTTTAGGGATTCGGGGGTTTAGAGTTTAGGGTTTAGGGATTCGGGGGGTTTAGGATTCAGCATTTAGGAATTCGGGGGTTTCGGATTTAGGGTTTGGGGGTTCGGGGGTTTAGGATTAAGGGTTTAGGGATTCGGGGGTTTCGGATTTAGGGTCTAGGGATTCGGGGGTTTAGGATTTAGGGTCTAGGGATTCGGGGGTTTAGGATTTAGGGTCTGGATTCGTGGGTTTAGGATTAAGGGTTTAGGGATTCGGGGGTTCAGGATTTAGGGTTTAGGGCTTCGGGTTTAGGGTTTGGGGATTCGGGTTTAGGAGTTAGGGTTTAGGGCTTCGGGTTTGGGGTTTGGGGATTCGGGTTTAGGATTTAGGGTTTAGGGCTTCGGGTTTGGGGTTTAGGGATTCTGGGCTTTGGGGTCTTTACCAGGACCTTTTTCGAGTTTTGCCGTTTTTGTAGGGCTGTTGGTGTTTGGCTTTTGGGCTGTTTGCAAGGTCTTGAAGGTTTTCGAGAGGGGGTTAATTGAAGCGTTGTGGTTTCATCACGGGGTATGAAGCTCCTGGTTAGAAGGGGCTCGTTGTGTTCGGATCCGGGACTTTGAAGGCCTGCCCTGGGCAAATTTGTTCTGCCACTGGTAGGTGAGGTTCCCCTTTCGCCTCCCTTCTTCTCCTCCTCTTCTCGATCCGTGCGGTCATTAGTGTCACCGACATCGTCACCAGCAAAATGATGGTCATGCCAATCACATGTCAGTTTATCAGTTTGTCCTGAACATGCATAGCTCTCAAGGTACTCATGATGCCCCACATGCACAGCCCATGTTGAACATGAAGCCAGTTGGCAAGCACAAGCATGCCGATGAGCAAGCTACGGTTCCCTTATCGTCCTTGTATACTTTTGATAGGGTAGAACTACCCCAAAACCTTATTCTAATCATGAAGGTGGGAGCTCGTTGACAAAGGCATACCAGCTTCGCCACTTATGTGGAAAAAGAAAATCCGAGAAACTGAATTAAGTACCGCTGGACCAGGGGAAATCTTGGGCTTACCTCGGCGGTTTCTGCTCGAACGCCCTGAAGCCCGAAGCCCCGACTGCAGGATTTCTCATACTCCCTTGCTCGTGCTCACCCTAAGCCCTAAACCCTAAACCCTAAACCCTAAACCCTAGACCCCACGGAGCGAGGCAATGGCGTGGTGGAATACGAAGAGTTCTGCCAGTGGTTGGTGAAGGAGTGCTGGACGACAGGGTCCTCGGGTCTCGTGGGGCTTTAGGGCTTGTTGTGCAGGCAGGCTTTTTTTGCAACATCTCTTTTTCTGACCTGGTTCATGGCTTCGGGTCCATGCAGGTATGGGGTCAACCCAAGAAGATGCAAGCATACGGTCCTCTGGGACTTTTCCGAGTTGGCACCAGGCTTGCCGGGCTAAGTGTCTCTAGCTTGTAGTTTGCAGGTCTGATATTTCGGATCCTGTACTGAAACCAATATTTTGCGAGGGTTCTTGCGATGACATCCCTGAGCCTTCAACCGTAGATTTTAAGCCCTGAGCTCTTGAGGTGCGAAGTCGAACCCATGTCGAATTATGAGGAGAATCCCTTGGACTTTTCCAGCAGCACCTTCTCTGCCTACGTCTCGCAGCTCATGCGCGAGGTCCCCCTTGCGATTCACTTGCCAACCTCAAACCCAGATCGCGAGCCGCGAGATTTTGCTTTTGATTCTGAAATATTGGGTTGTGACACGCAGCACCGCTTGCCGTCCTGGAGTATTGTCAGTGTTTCGTTTGTTGTGTGTTGCAAGATCCTGGCGCTTATGCCATTTTCCTCAAACTGTGACGCCATGGCCAGCTGTCACACGCTAGTAAGCTAGTAGTATCGTGTTTTGTATTTTCTCTGAATATTTATGTGCCATTGTGTATGTCGTCAATGATGCCTTAGTGTATAGTCCCGGTTCTTGTTGTTCTCAGCATGTGCTTGACTGTTTTGTGGATGAATGCACGATATTTTCTTCAGTGGGTACTGTCTTGGTTATTGCCATCATCACCATCATTCCATCGTCATAGTCATCGTCATCGTCGTCATCGTCTTCACCATCATCACAATGAACTCGCATTGCAGCCGCTGCATTATGATGGTTGGTGCAGTTCCAAGTCCGTCGCCTTCGTATTGGATGGTCCAGATATGTCATTCTGCTATGTTGTTGACCTCGGTTATTGTGGATGAAGGCTTCTGGCAGTATGCCTTTGATGTTTCGCATGCTGCAATCTTGGTAAACGGTTCAAGGTTCGGGGTTGAGATCTCGGTGTTTATTGCCTTAAAGATTATTCCCGTAGGCCCTAAACAAGACTAGCTCGTTCAGAGGTTCAGTAGCCTTGGGCACGAGGCGGTTTGCGGGTTTTGGAGTTGGGGGTGTGCGGTTTGTGGTGTCGCTAGCCGCCCGACGCCCAAGGCATTCTCAGTTGGGATGGGCCCTAAACCCTAAACCCGTAACCCCTAAACCACTGCTCTTCTTTCCTGTGTTTGCGTGCATCTATCTTTTGGTGCCGTCGCCATGGTCATCTTTACCTTTGCTCCAGTGGCTCTTGCTCATAATATAGGGTACCTACATCATTTTGGGGGTTCCTTGTTACAATTATAGTATAATGGGCCCCAAAACCCTATTCTAATCATTGAGGCCCCTACATTGCCGCTGAAGCTCGTGGCCTGAAGCTTTGTTGGAGAAATAAGAGATGCCACGGTTCTCATCGTAACTTCTCACCGGCACTCTTTTGCTCTGAAGCTCTAAGACCTGATCTCTACAGTCATGAAGCCCTCAACCCCCAAGCGGTAGAACTCAAAACCCCCCATCAAAGCCCTAAACCCTGAACCCTAAACCCTAAACCTCGGGAGTCGGATTAGGGGACCCTTGGGGATATAGACCCTCTCAATAAGGTCCCTTGTAAGAGAGCCAAGAGTAGGGTTCCGAAGGGGTACCCTTTAAGGGGTACCCCTAATAATACTACCTACTGAACCCTAAACCCTAAACCCCGGGGCAGGCCGGCCAGGCGAAGGACAAGGCGTCAATGTGCGTGGACGAGATTCAGGCCGGCTTTTGCCTGTTGCCGGTTTAGGGTTTCTCGGACATTTAGAGTTTGGGCTATAGGCTGTTTTTACTCTTGTTCTAGCTATTCATACTATTGTGATTGTTGTTGTTGTTGTTGNNTTGTTGCTGCTGCTGCTGCTTTTTTTTGTTGTTGCTGCTGGGCTGAGTGTTGGGCTTTGAGTTGGAGGCTTTGGGTTTGGGTGTAGGGCTTTTGGGTTAGGTTTTTAAGGCCGAGGGTTTTCGGATTTGGGATTTGCAACCTTCGATTCCCTCGCCTCGCCCAGTACCAAATGCCACTAGCAATCCCGAGCTGTCTTTAAAGAATTCTCTGCATGCCTTATGCTGGCAAAAAAAGTCACAACCGTCACCCTCAAAGCTCAACTCTCAGCCCTAAGCCCTGAGCCTGCAACCCGTCGCCAGGTGCGGGATGATGGCGTCTACTTCCGGCTCCAGCCGGGGCCCCGCGTTTGGAAAGGAGGACAAACAAATCTGTCTGGTAATCAATGAGTTTCGTTGGTACGTCTTCTACCGATCGACGTCCCTTTCTGTGAAGCTTCCATCGACCCATGATGCTACCTATCTACCGACTCTTCTATGTATCTACCTGTCCGTCTATCTATCTGTCTATGCATCTGACGAATCGTCTCATCGCAGTATTAGGCCATCTGCGTCTGCTGGTAAGAGCATGGCTACCTCTGTATGTGTATGTGTATGCATTCATGCGTGTAGTTGTACACATACACATATACATATATACA